ACCCTGGTTGATAGGGAGGCTACAACCCCAAATATTATCCTCAAAATTTTGTGCATTTGTACAGTTTTCTAAGGAGACAGTTAACAGCACTCATCAAATTTGCTGAAGGACTCACCACTCAAGAAAGATTAAGCCAGATGGAGTCTTGCTATCACTTTGTTCTTCCTGTTGGGAGATTCAGGATGTATGTATAGGAGTGACAAATGAGGTCTGTCTTTATGTGGTGAGGTTCTATGGACCATTTTTTTGCCCCCTTGATAATACGTGGGGCAGCGGCTGACTCCACCTAAGCAGAACTTCCTGAAGAAGTTACTAGAAAGGGTGGCCAAAGAGGGGATGAGGGAGCTCATTAAGGGTCTCCAATCTCTCTTCCCCTGATACCTGCCTGGATGAAGAACAAGAGAGAAGGGTGTCTGGAAGTTTAGATACCCACAGTGGCTCCAGAGGGCCCCTGGGTGGGCCATGACTGGTACCAAGGTGACACACATTGTTAGCCTGGAGAGAAGGAATCCTAGGTTCTAAGTCCAAAGGGATCAGAGGCCATTCCTTCAGCCTCCTGCCTGGCTTGGGAAATCTCTGCACCACTTTTGGCAAATATTCACTTAGGCTCTGCTTAAACACTTGCAGAGAAAGGGAGCCCAGGAGTTAATGGAGAGGAAAAGGATAGAGGAACTCTTTACTCTGTTTGGCTGTTGGACATTCACCAGACACGAACAAACCCACAGTTCAAAGTTTTACCTTTTTTTCTGGCCTTGCCACACAGCATGTGGGATCTTAGTTCCCCGACCAGGGATCGAACCTGCGACCCCTGCATTGGAAGTGCAGAGTCTTAACCACTGGACCACCAGGGAAGTTCCCAAAGTTTTACCTTTTCAGCGGCATCCCCCACCCAGCCTCTGTCACCTTTCCACTCAAGTCTCCTTCCTTTTCTGATTCTCACTGCTGCCTAAAGTCTGGGGCAGGGGAGCAGATGATGAACAAAAGCCAAGATCCTCTCCTAAAGCCAAGAATCTACTGGTTTGCCATCTGGGTACTCTTACATTTGAAAAGTATGAAAGACACATATCCCTAATTTCACTTTCTAGGAGGGGAAGTTAAAACATAGAGATTGGAGGGCAGCAAAGAGCAACTGGAATTCCGCCCCATCCATCTTCCCAGCCAGCATACGCGCCCCTCTGTGGCTCCCCTGACGTGGCTGGAAAGCCTTGACCACTTTCAGGGATGCAGGGCTTATAGCTTTTTGAAACAATCGATTGAATTAAGGTCCTCTTTCCTTTTCTCATAGGGAATGGCCTCGGATAAAGAGAAGGAGGTTTCCACTCATGTAAGACCTCCTCTGTGAGAAGCAAGGAAATCATTTGAGGGCAAAAATGCCCGAAAAGTGAATAGCAGAAGCCTCACCCAGCAGTGAGAAGTGTTTTTGCCTTGACGTTTACAACCTCGCCTGAGTGCTGCGCGGTACCTTCCAGGAGTTGGAAATAACCTACAATGATACGTCAGCCTTGGCACTTGGGCCCGCAAAGGTCTCTTAACCCAGATCCTGCTGTGTATGTCTTCGGTCTGGAAACTTTTTCATCCAAAAGTACGCCGGCTTGAAAAGGCCTTTCGACAGAGCTTATTTTATTTCCTGTTCAGAATTCTTGACATAGAGCGATAGAGCTAGAAGTCAGTCTCAGGATCAGCTCCATCAACCTCTTCATTTTGCAGAGAAACTGAGGCCCAGGGAGGTATAGAAATTTGCCAAAAATCACGCCCTTCACCTCCGCTAACGATGGTCATTAGGAGGTGCCTTGGACCACTTTCTGTTCCTTGCAAAGTTCAGTATCCGTGACTCTTCTATCCACTGACCTCAGGTGACATGGCCCCCCTTCCCAAAGGAACTCTGTTTATTTTTACAGTTTCTACTGATCATTGGAAATGAAGGGAGCGGGAAGTGAACTTGAATGACCACCACGTTGAGGGCTAGCCTGACTTAAGGGTGACTGTCGCTATGATAGGAATGACTTCAACAAGAAACAATACAGAAGCCTCCAGACTACTCAGGGCTTTAGCCAAAGAAGCCAAGAAGTCTTCTCTTCGGATGAGTGAAGGTGAGGGCAGGAGCTGCAGAGCTCATCAGCCGTCCTCTATAGCATCTCTAGCTGACTGTCTATCAGTGAAGTCACCTCTTTTTGGTGCCTTAATTCAGATCTCAAAAGGAGCAGATGTACGGGTGATAAACAGAACTGCCTATTTAAGATATGCTGTTTTTAAAGAAAGTAGCAACTGTTTCATGAGGTACTTCCTAAATTTACCAAAGCCCCATATATATATATATATATATACACATCTTCTCCAAAGTACACCTTAAAGATGAGCAAGGAAACAGTAGTAATAACACCTTGGGATCTAGAGAAATTGAATGATTGAATATGAAGAGTTAAACATTTTGTGTTTTAATGATAAATGTGAAGGTGGAAATTCCAGTGTGGGCAGCAGCCATCTTTACAAGAAGGGATAATTAGACAAAAATATCATCTTAATGGGTTTTTGCATTGTGTTTTGTGTTGTTTTTTTTTTTTTTTTGAGTCTAGGGCATGAAGATTTGATCACAGAATTCCTAGAATGAAAGAAAGATGATCAAGGCATAGATAAACTCTCAGAATTTCCACAATGCTGAGAAAGGCACCTTCAATAACGTGCCTGTTGGCAACATCAGGAGAATTCTCTTTTCAACCACATCCCAGGACCCAGTAATACAGAGACTCAAAACACTCACGTTGACTAATACATCCCCTGTCGCCCATCACAATTTTAAATGGTGGCTTTGGAAATTTTCAGACTGAGAATCTGCCTTATGAATCAGCTAGAAATTGCATCTGTTGACAGTCTGATTGATTTCGTTAGCAACCTCTCCCTTCTGAGGAATAAAAAGATTTGTTTATTTGAAGACTGGGTTCCCCTGGGAGGAAAAAGTCTGAGATGAGATTATTTCTCACCCTGGAGTGGTTCCTAAGCCATATGTGGATCCCAGAAACTCAGCCCGTATCATTCTCTTTAGCTACCAAGTCCTCACTTGCCTCTGGATGGGACCATTTCACGCCCTGTCTGTGCACCTACTCTCTCTACGGAATCATCTCTGTAGAGCTTGGACCCTGTCTGCAGGAACCAGAAAGAGCACATGGCTGAGAAAACTGGGTTTGAGTCCTGGCTCTGTCACTGCCTGTGTGACCTCTGAGTTTTGAGGTCGTCTTCATCTCATGGGTTGGTGACATCCACTTTGCAAAGGGGCTATGAAGAGGAAAAGAAGACTTATACGTCTGGCACATAGAAGGTACTCTATAAATGGTCATTTTTACTTTCTAGTAGTCTTTTATTGACTCCCAAATGAAGTTTAAATTTTTAAACTTGCTACGAAGGCCTTGGGTCATTCATTTGACGCCATCCTACCTTTCCAGTCTTAATCCCCAGCAACCCCACATCCCCGTCCAAGGCTGGGGGCTCTTCCCTGATGCTCTGCTGTGTCTTTGCTCCTGTGGGCCTCTCTATCTGGGATCTCCACTCAGGGAAATTCACTGCCCCCTCAGGGCACTTCTTGCTGCTGCTTTCACGAAGCTTTCCCTGATACACCCCTGCTCCCCTAGATCTTATCCCATTCCACCCATACTGCTGTTATTATATCTATGCCTTTCTTCCCCTTACTAGGTTATATCTCTCTTAAGGAGTGAGGCTATGTCTTATTCATTTTAATATTTCCTACAGTGTTGAAAAGGGGAACAAGACGTATTGGATAGATTTTTGAAGATGTGAGTGTATGAAGGAGGCCTCACTGCTACAAGACCATTCAAATCTTCAGATAAGTCATCATCGGCTGGCAATAACACGCATTTACTTGAAATGTGTTTCCCAGAGATGAGGCATGATTAACTGTAAAGACTTTTCTGTTCTGGCTTGGCTTGACCTCCCACTTTGCAAAGACCCTGTGGAGGTAGAAATCTCATTATGAGCCTTCCTAAAATCACGCCCACTTTTCACTTTAAAGTAAAGAAGATCCTACACCTGGGTCAGTTCACAGCCCAGTGACTTGGTCATTTCCCCTAAACAAGCAAAAAAGACTCCTTATGCATCATCCTGTTTCACTTCTTAACATATCTTTCTGTGGCCACTTAGCATCATTATATATCTAGAAACGAAGGATATAAAATCGTAGACTCTGACATCTTACCTGTTTTCCTACATAAGCAAGGGAAGACGTTATTAGAAAGTTCACACTCAGTTAGGAAGGAGGTTTGAGGTAGAAGTTGGTGGTTTCTTATTGCTTCAAAAAAAACTGACAAACCCTTTTGAAAGAATGAAAGGAATTCAAAACTTTCATATATATATATATATATACCCACATACATACATACATGCATATATACACATAAAACATAAGAAGAATTAATGTTCTGAAAGTGGTATGCTTATTTTTTTAAAACTTCTATAAAGTTACACATATAAGAAACTTCCTAGGTATTATTTCCCGAGACAGTAAAAAACAAATTATACATCCTTGAGGCTTAACTTTTCTGAGATCTTAAATGATCCCAATGTTTCATATATGAGTTAGTAATATCTGCCAGACATTCACCTGGTCTGGTCTTAGACTCCTAGTAGATTTTTAGTATTATCTTACAGCTTTGTGGGTGCAGTGGAAAACTGAATTCAGTGGAAAATCCAAGTTCTCGAGGACTCTGCTCATTAGTATGCTAACATTCAAATATCACATCACCCTGTTCTTCCCAGAATCAGCCGTCAAAGACTTTGAGCGACAGAGAGCCCACCGTTCCAAGTTCTCTTTATAGGTCGGCGATAATTGAGGCATAAAACGGGCCTCCGGTGGACTGTGGACATAGGGGTAGAACCCAGGATTCAACCCCCTTCCCCGTACTTTCTACTTAGGTGCCTCTCGGATTCTGTGGCTGGGGAGAGTCGACATCCTTAGCCTTCCCAGGACTCCGAGGACACCAGTGACCCCTTACCTGTCATGCAGCCAGGTACAACGATGAATACGAAGAATCCCCACATCAGCAAGCCTGGCTCCATCCTCCGGGCCCCTGGGATCAGCTGCTGATGTGGGGGCCAGGAAGAAAAGGTACTTCTCTGCAGAATGCTGGGTTTCCTTTCAGCCTCTTGCTGGCATCGCGCTGGGAGGCTGGGGAAGGATCAGTCCGCCCAGGCTGTCATCCTCGCTGGTCCATCCGTCTCTAGGACAGTCAGCACTTGCTCTATATAAGTATTAGCCTGGTTTGTTCAGTCAGGAAATCGTGCCTACCACGCTCTTCTCTAGTCTCAAATATAGGAAGTGGTTTTAACCAGCTTTTTTTTTTTTTTTCAAGTTCAGTTGCTGGGAGGTGTGGGCCGGGGTTGGTGAGAAGGATTGGGGTTCGTGTATGAATCCTTTCTTCAGCGTCCCCCTGAAAAGGGGAGGGAGATTCCCCCTGCCGTTGAAGGAGGGTGAGCAAGCACTTCTTGGCAGTGGTCTCAGCTAGAGTTTCATAAACTGATGTCACTGTGAAACTGAGGTCCTTCCCCAGACTTGCAGCTCCCGGAGGAGTGGGCAGGTGCCACACAAGATGGGGGGCAAGGTCATGCCAGGAGTGTGGGGGAGCAGTCTTGGTCCTGGACGGGAATTTCCTAAAGCTGTCTGACCACGGATCCCTTTAAAAAGTCTAGTGGGCATCCGGGTGGGGTCTCCATACTCAGAACTCATGAATACTCTCCCAAGATTTATAATCAGTAATAGCCATAATTATTTCACCACGATGCTCTGGGTTCCTGCATGTGAGTTGTCATTTTATAAGATGTTTTGCCACCAGATGTGTCTTTCTCTTAAAAGATCATTACTGGGGACTTCCCTGGTGGTGCAGTGGTTAAGAATCCGCCTGCCAATGCAGGGGACAACGTGTTCGAACTCTGGTCCGGGAAGATCCCACATGCCGCGGAGCAACTAAGTCCGTGCGCCACAACTACTGAAGCCCACGTGCCTAGAGCCTGTGCTCCGCAACAAGAGAAGCCACCACAATGAGAAGCCCGCGCATCGCAACGAAGAGTAGCCCCTGCTCACCACGACTAGAGAAAGCCCGCGCGCATCAATGAAGACCCAATGCAGCCAAAAATAAATAAATAAATAAATTTGTGAAAAAAAAAACCCAAAACAAGGATCATTACTAAAATGTGGACTTTGGTTTTCGATGTTGGGGTACTCAGGACTTTTGCTGCCATGTATGGGATCTTTAGTTGCGGCATGTGGGATGTAGTTCCCAGACCAGGGATCGAACCTGGGCCCCCTGCATTGGGAGCTCAGAGTCTTAGCCACTGGACTTCCAGGGATGTCCCTTCCCTATTAGAGATCAGAGCTATCTTCTGATTTTCACGAAATGGTTGACTATGTTTTGCTAAATGGAAATTCATGTAATCATGTAGTTATAGTAAAATACAATTTAAAAAATATTAGAAAGCAAGTGAAAATATTGACAAAAGGAAGAAGCATCCAGGCAAGCCAAAGCAGTTCATGGTTCCAATATGTGTTGTTGATAATTCTCTAAGAACATTCTGATATTCTCTAAGAAAGGTAATTATGATCTCTGAAAAGGGCCTTGAAAGGCTGCACATGGACCAAGAGTTGTTTCCAGGTTAAGTACCAGAGTTTGCAGAGAAAAGCATGAACTGATCTCTTTCCGGGAGTGAAATACTTTATTGAAATGTGACAGGATTATCTTTTACGATTCCAGAGCAGGCTTACGCTCATTGCTGGAAACATTTCAACCATGTGGATGAGTGCGGCAATTCCTGTTATCTGCCGGGCTGTCCCTGTTTATTAAGCTGGAGATTTTGCCTGGCTACAGTTATCATCGTATAGTTTTGAAATAAACTTACAGAAAAATTGGAAGTATAATATAAATAACTCCCCCCCACAAACCATGGAAGAGTAGCTGCCACTGTGATGTTCCAAATATAGAATTGACGATGTTCACTTTGATCCCTTGATCCAGGTGGTGTCTCCCAGGGGCCCCCACTTTACAGTCACTATAACCCTAACCCTAACCCTCTTTGTAATAAATAAGGACTTGGTGATAAGAAGTAAATATCGTGTTACACATCAGACTTTCAATTTATTCATTTATTTGTGTGTACAGACTCAGGATTTTCTATCTTTTTCGCTGGGTTATAATCTATCACTGTCATTTATTTCAGTGCTCAAACTGTCTCCTGTTTGTCCACTGCGAGTCCATTCAAGGTGGCTTCTGTGTCCTTTTGACACATCCCCATCGTTCTTTCTGTACTTCTTTGCTTTGGGAGCATAAGGAGATTTTTCCAGGCTCATCTTGTACTTTCTCTGTCCCAGCCCTGGAATCAGCCATTAATCCAAAGAGTCCAGGTTCCTTCAGAGGGAAATAGTGTTTTGATGCCAAGATGTGCTCATTGCTATTGGGGTGGCACTACTCCTAGGCTCCCCCAGTGAACAGAGCTAGGGACAGAGGTAAGGAATACATGCATGTACACACACACCCTTTATATCTATATTTATTTCTGTATCCATCTATACATATTGGAAACCATGAGTTCACACTGATACATCCCAACATCCCAATTCCACCTGAGCACCACAGGATTGAATTCTAGTTTTTTTCCTTTTCTGTATGTGTTTGTAACTCTCTTCCCTGGTGGTGGAAATCTGCTTCGTTAGCCCTTGTCTGTTTACATTTGATCAGTTCCCCTGTATGTTACCAGTCTCTCATCTCTGCCGCCATCCCCTTCCTCACACACGTACCCTATTCTCCCTGCTCAGGCTCTGAATCCCTGTTCTGAGCCCACCCCCAGACTCTGAGGAAATGGCCCCCTCGCCTGATCAGGCTCTGACAGCTCTTACCAGGTCACCCCCCCACCCCCATGGATGTCCTTCCGACCCTGCTTGGGTGCTGCACCCCCATCCCAAGTCGTTCCCCTTGGGGATGACCTCCTCCCCTTGTGTGAGCTCTGACAACCTTGCCACCAGCACTAGGTGTCAGCCCCCTCCCCCCGCGTGAGCTCCGATAACACTAGTGTATCTGCCTGTCTTTGTGAACCGCCCCCCACCCTGATCAGGTTCTGACTCCCCCACTGGGTTGCTCCCTGTGGGGACCCCTGCTCCACTCTGCTTGGACCCTGATTCCTCATCTTGGATGGTCTCCCCATAAAGACACCATCCTCACCCCCTTCGGGCTGTGACCGCCCCCCAACTCTGGGCTACTGTGTCACCTCCCACCAGACACACAGTTGTCTCCCCTCCGTTGCTCCACCAGAAAGCGTTAGCTGAATTGTTCAGAAAGGGAAGGAGAGGACGGTTAGTGCCCACCCTTCAAGAGTAATGCAGTAAAAGGAAAATGAGGCCAAAATGTGCAAAATCCAGCCAAGCTCAGAGAATGAGCACACATGCAATGAAGAAACAGACAAAGCATAATGACCTCCAAGCTTTTAAGGTGCTTCATATGTTTTTTTTTTTTAACATCTTTATTGGGGTATAATTGCTTTAACTTCATATGTTTTTAAACTCTAGAGAGTCTTAGGAATTAATATTTCTTCTTGGAAAGTAACAGTTACCTAAAGTTTACTAAAACCTTCAGTTTTATTTTTTTATTATTTTTTTAAAATTTATTTATTTTTGGCTGTGTTGGGTCTTTATTGCTGCATGTGGGCTTCCTCTAGTTGCGGTGAGCGGGGGCTACTCTTCGTTGCGGTGCGCGGGCTTCTCATTGCGGTGGCTTCTCTTGTTGCAGAGCACGGGCTCTAGGCGCGCAGCCTTCAGTAGTTGTGGTGCGTGGGCTTCAGTAGTTGTAGCTTGCGGGCTCTAGAGCGCTGGCTCAGTAGTTGTGGCGCACGGGTTTAGTTGCTCCGCAGCATGTTGCATCTTCCTGGATCAGGGCTTGAACCCATGTCCCCTGCATTGGCAGGCAGATTCTTAACCACTGTGCCACCAGGGAAGTCTTCAAAACCTTCAGTTTTATATCAGTTTCTTTTTCTTCTATGAAGTTAAAGTAAAATTAAATTTAATGATATATATTTACAAATTTTTGAGGATCAAAGAAATATTAACCAGGACTTATAAGGTACATTTGGACTGAAGTAAGTAGCAAACGTTAATCTCACAGATTAATTCACTGCTATGTAAAATAATCAAAACTTGAATTGTAATTTTTTTTTGCTTTACAAGAGAACCTCCCTCAACCGCTCCTCACAATAATTAGAAGAGTTAAATCCATTTTATTAGTAACAAAATAATAGCAAAATAGATTAAACATCTTTTATTTTACATTTTTATTATTAAAAATAATATACAAACTATGAAAACAAAAATAGTGATTTGGGGGGTCTTTTTTAGAATTTAGAAACTTTATTCCCACCCCCACCGCCAATTAGCAGATGGGTTTCATATTAGTTCAACTGGAGGTTTTCTTCCTGTAGTTGTCTGGGGGGTCTTTTTAGTCAAATAACTATAATTTTTATGAGTGGTGTTGCTGAATTAGAGCCTCATATCAGAGGCTCACATTTGACATCTTATCCTGCACTGGAATGCTGAGGGAAAAGGAGGAATGTAGAAATTGCACACTGCTCAAAAAAATGATCAGCTGTTTTATCTTGGGAAGCTCACTTCTCCATTTTCAAGAAATTTCAGGTTGGAAGTTTTCATTTTCACTTTGAAATGTTAGGACATGTTGTTTAAGTCAGTCCCGTTGGGAGAACCATGTTAAAACTCTTTTAGTCACAGAGCCAAGTCAACATGATATAAATGTGGGGATTCGTTAAACTGAATAATATCATAAACACATGATGAAATTAAAACCCCAGTTACAGAACACAGACTAGAGACCAATAAGTTGACAACCACACCAGGACAGTTGGCGGGATGGAGACGGCCAGCAGGTCCCCCCAAATCATCTTTCCCTTTGTCTTGGCGAATGATTAGAACACATTCCCTAGCCTCCTGGAACTAAGTGTGGTTCTGTGGTGATGTTCTCGCCAGGAAATGTTAGCGGAAGTGATGTTTAGCACCTCTGCCTGGCTTC